GACCTCACCCTTGCTTTCTTTACTTTTGGCCATATGGCCATACATTCTGTTCTCACAGCATCTCTCTGCTTGCTAGCATGCATCCTGGTCTCAGAAGACTACGTAAGTGTCTGAAGCTAGTTCAGTGATAAAGTGATTACTTTGAATGCATAAGGCTTAATATTATTGATGAAACTAACAAGTAAGTAAACATGAAATATGAATATATGAGAACCCTGTACCTGACAATGTTTGTGTGCACACATGTATAAGAACAGGTAGATGATAGAGGTCAACAATCAGTGTCTTCTATTTTATTCCACCTCATTTCTGAGATCATTGATTGGCTAGATTGCTACCATTGAGACTTGGACACCAGTCTTCCTTCCCCAGTGCTTGGGTACTAGGCATGTGCATTCTTGCTTGGCTATTTTAAAAATGTGGGCACTGGGTATCTAACTCAGTCACTCTCATATTTGCAAAGATACCCATCTGCTGCTTGACTCCTCTTCCAATTTCCTGGATCTCACTGTTGACCATGCCTCCTGTGGGAGAAGCAGACACAGAGAGAACAGAATTCCCCACACACTGGGACACGCTATAGGATGGAATATGATGAAGACGACACAGAGACTGAGCCTTGCAAAGTGTTTGAGTGAAATGAATTAGAGGGAATTACTTGTGGTTGTGTGGGGGAACATCATCAATGTGAATTTAAAGAAAGGGAGTAAAATAGGCGTCTGAAGAGAAATCTGAGTGGAGAGGATACTAGAAACATCAAGGCAGGGCATGGCAGGTGCAGGTGTTATGTGGGAAGGAACATTCTCTTTCTAAAAGATGGAACCCATGGAGTGAGGTCACCTTATGTGGATAATATTTCAACAATTCAGGAAGAAACTGCCAGGCACTCAGAGGTCTTAGGAAACTCCAGAGACCCCATCAGCAATGACATGGTTTGACTTAGATGTCTAAAGTATTACTTTTCCACCCCACAGAAATCAAGTGGGAGTAGAGCCTCTGGGGCATCAGTATACACTCCCTGTTCTTTGTTTTCTTTTTTGGCAGAACCAACATGAGGAAAATCACCCCAAAGATTTGTATGCCCAAGTGAAACCCTCCAGACTCAGAAGGGCAGAGCCCACCTCTCCTTCCCTCATGCCAAAGGAACCGCTGGACTCAAACAACAGGCAGGCAAAAGAAGACAAAGTGAGAGCCCATCAGGTGGGTCCTGACCTCTCCAGTTCCCCAGGCCCCAGTGCTGAGCACAGAC